AAACAAAAACTTTCTTATTCCCTTTGAGCAGTGTGGCCAGCTGTCAAAGGAGAAACTCAGACTCCAAATGGATTTAATACAAACCAGACCCTGATGCCTTGTGCATTGTTTAACCATGGCTTCAGTTTCCTTCTCCTCCTTCTCTGCATCAGGTACTTGCCATGTAGAGTCATAAGTTTTTAATGTTTAAAATATAACACATTGTTTCAGTTAATGTAATTGTCCTGCCCATTCCCTCCACTCCTCCCCGCCTCATCCCCTGGGGTTTTATCTCCTTTCTCTTGGTTTTGGCATGATGGCAGCTTTCTGATGGGAGTCTGTTCCTGGTGCAGCTCGTCATGGTGGTCTCCAATGGACAGAGCTGCTCCCGACCTCACCTGTGCCTTTTCCATCATATTCCTTTTTCCTTTTAGATACACTGGCACAACCTGGAAATGTCTGGAAGCTCTGCAGGGTGACTGCCTTGCCTCTGCATCTCCTTGGGAATCTTGGCTTGGGAATCCTGTGCATCCAAGCCCTGCACCAGCAGCTCCACACCCTCTCCTCTCTGATCAGCCAGGAGGGGATGACCAGCCACTGTGGAACTGCAGAGGGGACATGGGTGAGATGAGCCGTGGGCAGCTTTGTGTCCAGCATCTTTAGATTCAGCTGGTCTCATCCCTCCTGCATCCTGAAGTGCTGTACACAACGTGAAGCGTGGAGTTGACATGCTCCTTGTCCCTGCTCCTGCTCTGGGAGGGGTTACAGCTTGTGGTACCTCATGCTGCACCTGGAATGGTGCCTGGTGCAGGGGGATTGATCCCCCAGTGAGACCACAGGCATTGGGCCGACAGAAGTGAATAAAAATCAAATCCCTACAGTGAAAATGCAGCTGAGTCTGGGGAGGTATTGATGGAGGCTTTGCTATGCTGCCTCTGCTTTTCTTCATACCAGTGGAAAAGGTACCAGGCACTATCATCACTCCATGACCACACCTGTACACCACAGGTTCATGTGAGCTGTTTCCCTTGCCATGTTACTGACACCATGCTGCTTTTTCTGTGGAAAAAAGACATTGTTGGTTTGTTTTAAAAAAAAAAAAAGAAAAAGATCTAAACCCCTGCAACAGACACATACACACAAATATTTAATTTCAGAGAAAGTAACAATTTATGAAGTTCATTGAAGAGCCAGACGTGGTTGTCCCCGGTGAACTCACATGTTCATGAATTTTTGAGTTGAAGAGGAGGGAACTGGAAGGAGTAGGAGGCCAAGACATGGATGGGATGGATTTGTGATGGCTGTTGGTGAGCTGTGGAACACTCAGGAATGCTGAACACCTGGCTGAGATCACTGGGCTGTAAGCTTGTGTTCAATAAACCTTGGAATAGAGGCTAAAACAGTGTGAGGGCAGTGGCTGCACTACAAGAGTGTGCAAAGGATTGAGATTCCGTGGATGATGTGAGGCTGGACATCAGTCCTACTCAGAAGCTGAGTGTAACCACTTGATGTAGATCTGAAGAACTGGGGTATGGCAGATACTAGTCAAGAGCATTTGTGGAATATAGGTAATTGAAAATAAATGAAAATTATTGAAAATAAATTAAAATTGAAATAAAATGTATTTAAAAGTAAGTAAATACAAAATCATCCCTCTCGTACAGGCCAGGAATGATGGATTTGTTGCCAGACCAGGAGATGGTTTCACATTCCTTAATGATTTTGCAAAGCATCTGAGCAGATAGAGGCCATAGGCACAGTGCCCTGACCTTGTGATAAAGAGCTAATTCATTCAGGGGATACACAGAAAGGTGTAGTAAGTTGGAGCAGTGCAATGATTTTATGGATTTTATTTTTTTACACAGAAAATTGCCTGGCGTTGGTGAGAGGGACACCAGAATATTGCCCATGGCTCTGGTGTCAGGGTTTGTAAAGGGATCTTGAAGATGTCAAAAAAAGCCACAAAATTGTTTAAGAGATGAAGAGAATGAGTTACAGAAGAAGAGATTAAAGAGCTTAAATGAGATCAAGAAGAAGAGTGAATGCCTTCATTAAATCCTGAAGTACTTTCTCAGGAGAAAATACCAGGGATGGGGGGACCTCAAATCTTGCAGCGAAGGCAGAACTGAGCCAAAGGCTACAGGCGGGAGCAAGACATTTAACATGGAAATAAGGCTCAGACTGCGGGAGGGAGAGTAATGACTGGCTGGAAAAAACTACCCAGGAAAGTTGTGTATTTTCCATCTCCTCACACGTCCGAGACAGGCGGCGTGGCCCATGGGGAGCGAGGTGTGAGCTATACAAGTTGTTTGCCCACGGCTGAGGGAGAGAACAGGCCTGGATTGGCAAGCACCAGCGGAGCTGTGGGGTGTCTGTGGTGTCTGCTGGCCCTCACCCGTGGGGTGTCTGTGGTGTCTGCTGACCCTCACCTGTGGGGTGCTTGTTGTGTCTGCTGGCCCTCACCTGTGGGGTGTCTGTGGGGACTGCTGGCCCTCACCTGTGGGGTGTTTGTTGTGTCTGCTGGCCCTCACCTGTGGGGTGTCTGTGGTGTCTGCTGGCCCTCACCTGTGGGGTGTCTGTGGGGACTGCTGGCCCTCACCTGTGGGGTGTCTGTGGGGACTGCTGGCCCTCACCTGTGGGGTGTTTGTTGTGTCTGCTGGCCCTCACCTGTGGGGTGTCTGTGGGGGCTGCTGGCCTTCACCCGTGGGGTGTCTGTGGGGACTGTTGGCCCTCACCCGTGGGGTGTCTGTGGTGTCTGCTGGCCTTCACCTGTGTGTTGTCTGTGGGGACTGCTGGCCTTCACCCGTGGGGTGTCTGTGGTGTCTGCTGACCCTCACCTTTGGGGTGTCTGTGGGGGCTGCTGGCCCTCACCTGTGTGTTGTCTGTGGGGACTGCTGGCCTTCACTCTCAGCCACCATCACGGCCAGCGCCGGCCATGGCACCAGCCGGGCGCCGGGGCCTACTGGGGTCGCTGCCCTTATTGTTCCCATTGATGTCTCTTCTCAAAGTGTTTCATCATTTCCTCAAGAAACAACAGCACGATTCTTCTGCGGGAATGTGAAGTGGCAGCTTCAAAGCTTCGAGGAGTGGAGCAGCTCACCCAGCAAGGCAGAGGCTCTGGCATCACATCCTGCTGCTGTACAGCCTCCAGGGGCCTCACACAGAACCAGCAACGATGCTCAGAAATAGGAAAGAAAAGCATCAGGAGGGAAACAACAACAACAGCAGCAACAAAGCTTGGAAATATCAGTGCTTTCCGACAGGTTTGAAAACAAACACAAAAAATAAATGAAAAGAAAAGACCAGGGAAAGAAGTATCTTCTTAAAATGAAGCACTTAAAAGTGCTCCTTTGGGGCTGGAGAAAATCTCTGTGGCTGCCAGTATTTTGAGAAAAGCTGCAAGTTAGTGACAAAATAATGCATTTTAATTTCCTTGGCACAGCAAACTGACAAAACCCCCGGTTCTGCCTGTATGCTCCCTCTGCCCTGTCCTTGTCAGATGCTACCCTGGGAGCAAGGGGTGGGACAGGGCATTACTACTGCTTTGGGAGGTGGGAAAAGCCATGGACAGTGAGGTTGAGGATGCAGCAGGACTACACCAGATCCCACTGCAGTGGGGACACTGGGCTGTGGTTATCAGGGAGCTGGAGAACCTCTGCTAAGAAGCCTTTGGGTAAAGCTCTGGCTCCTTCAGTGGACAAATAAATATTGTATATAACGATCTGTAAATTAAAAGGTGTTTTAGAAATGTAAAACAAGAGTTACACCCACTTAAGGTGTCAGAGAAGATGCTTTTAGTGTAGTTTCATGACTCAGGTAGGTTTCTTCCACTGACAATGATGAGTGGCTGTGCTGAACCCATCTCTGCATGGTGGTCTCAGGGGAAGCCAGTGAGGAACAGCAAGTGCATCGTGTCTGGGAGGCACATTCCAGGTCATCTTTGAGCCTCACAGACACCTCATGGACCAAACAGCAAAGAGGACACACAGCTGTTGGGCACCAGAGTCATGGTGGGTGGATGCTCCAGCATGGCGAGATGACAACCCCTGTCTTCTCCCAGGTCTGGGAGAGCTCAAGCTTCTATGGGGGATCACCACACAGCAGGGATCCCCCATTGGTCACTGGTGCCAGGGCAAGGGTGCAGGAAGGTGATGCCCTCACCTCCGCTGGTAGCTTGGTTCCAGGGCTGGACCTGTTGTCCTATCCTTCCTCACGAGCCCATGAACGGCAGGTGTGACTCAGTCACCCCCATGGCCCATGTTTCTGGCCCTGCCTGCAGAGGCTTCAGAGGAGCCCTGTGGAATTGGCGATCCCATGTCTTGATTTAATTTTCGGTCTACTTTAACTCTAACAAAGCGGCAAATTGCTTCCTGTAGTTGTTTTACTTTTATTTATAGGGTAATTTGCATCATGAAGACAAGTTGCCCTATCAATAACTGTGGAGCAATTAAGGTCACCTGTCCCCTCCTCTCCTTCTGAGGGTCTCATCTCTCACTTGCATGTCTCATCTTGATGGAGGATTGTGATGGATTGGCCTTTGGGAGGCTGGCCCCGGTCTCCAGCTCCGACCGCGCTGCTCACACAGATTCTCAAAGCTCAGGCCAAGCTGCTGCTCTGATTTTGCTGTGTGATATTTTCCAGAAGAAAGGAATTGTTCAAGGCCCTTGCCTCAGTGAGGAGTGGGAGTTATTTTACAAAGGAGAAAGGTGCAGGCATTCCTCAAGAACAAAAGTAGAAGGAAAGGTATCTGGCTAAGCAATTAATATTTAATCATGAAACATGGCAGGGTTAAGTTCATTGCTGAGACCAGGTTGCTCAACTGAAAGAATTAAACCTGACTTAGGTATCCCCATACACACATTTTCTCCTTCCCTCTTCCCACTTCCTTCCCTGCCAGAGAAGCTGGGGGATATGGGGGGGTCAGTGTCTGGAGAAGTGATGCTGACTGTGTGGCCAGTGGAGCCAGGGAGCGCAGAGTGAGAAGGGAGAGAGGGATAAGGCTGGACACAGAGCCTCACCCATGCTCCTCTCACTTTTGGGGCAATCTAAAACTGTAGCAGGTGTTGGGAGGTCAGGATACATGGTTGATGTACTGGGTAAATGCTCTGTGCTCCCAGAGGTGAGGATGAGCAGGACAGGCAGAGGTGTCCCAGCCTGTGTGGGTGCTCTGCACGTTGAGCTGAGTGCTGGGTCTTCATCTTGTCTGCAGGAGCAAGCGCTGTGCTTCTCCATGAGCCTGAGCTCTCCAGGGATGTCATCTCCCACGCAGATGTCACCCCAGGCAGGTCAGGCACCTGGCTGAGCAGTTCTGGTACAGGGAGCTGCAATTCCCCTCCCTCCTAAGACAGCACATACTCACACTTTCATTTATTCCACTTCAATAAACATCTGAAGACATCCGTAGGAAACTTGTACTTTAAAGTAAAAACATTTCCCAAACACCTCTTGGGGAAGCTTTTCCTTTTCTACAAGTAAGAATTTGAGCCTGTAAATGTGAGGAATGGGAACAATGCTTGCAGTCCTCCCCGGGCAGAGCTTGGAGATCTGCAGATCAAACTCCCCGTGGGAGATCTGAATCCTCTCAACAGCAGCGTGCAATAAATCCTGACATCCTCAACAGAGCAAACAGGCAGCATGAAGCAGAACAAGCGACCTGCTGCTGCTCTGGGGACACCTGGAACACACCCCTGAGAGCTCGAGGTCAGCTCAATCCACCAGCAAATCCCAAGCTCCTGCTCCCCACCTGCTATCAGGGGATAACCCTCACCAATACCACCCTTCTGTGGCTCTGCTCTGCCTCTCTCATCACCACCAAACCCCTGGTGGCTTCACAATCCAGGATCCATACAAGGAAATCTCTATATCTACCTTAGCAAAGTGCAGGGAGAGAACCTGGACTTGGAGGGGCACAGCCTTTGTGATACCCAAAGACCTGAATGGCATTTTCCTGTGTTCCATGCAGTATCTTTTGGTGAGTCATTGATGGTGAGCCATGAAGGACATTTGGGAACTGACTGGGAAATGTTTGTTAACCAGCTCCTGCTGATGCCTCATCCCAAAGACCTGGGAAAATGCCCAGAGATGTGTTGATTTCCAAAGCTTTTCTTACCTCCAGTGCCGGTGTGTGCTGCGGGACTCAGATCCCCCACAAGCTTTGCCCTCTCCTTCCTCCTCTTCCTCTCCTACCTGTTGTGTGATGTTGGTGCCACATTCCAGTTTCCCAGCACCAGATACACCTGGTTGATGTTTCTTAAACAATTTCTCTGGAGCTGCTGGCTGGCAGAGGGCTGCAGGGCAGTGCCTGTGTCCCTGCTCCCCATTGCAGGGGGCTCTGGGCTGTTCCTGCCAGGCACACAGCCCTTCCTTCCCTTGGATTTTGGACTGGTTGCTGCTGCAGTCCGCCCTTCCAAGTTATTGGTTTGCACATGTTCACAGGGAAACAGTTTTAAATATGGTAATAACGAACATCCAATCCGTTACCCCAGCGCTGGGGGACAGAGCTGTGGCAGTCAATCTGCAATTCCAAATCTGCATATTTATGCAGTTTCATTAATTATGTATTATGCAGCATTAATCGCAATAATATGTGTATGCTTGTTCAGTAGAACAGAGAGAGGAGACTCGCCTGGCAGAAGAATTAATCAGAGAGCCATTCACAGATCCCACATCGCTTTAGGTTGCAATTACAAGTATTTTTACTTAAAAGGTTTTGCATTAAAAAAAAATTAATTTTGCAAGATTTTGAGGTCCCCATGTAGCCACAAAAATTTAAGATGAGCTCTGAAAAATGGCTCCACCATGTCTTCTGGTAGCAATCACAGCTGAGCAAAGAGGGCCTTTGAAGAGGGATTCCTGTCAAACAGGCTGTTAATTATCTTGGTGGAAGAAGAAACTGAATTTCTCAGGGCAGGCAGCAGACTTTGTGTGCTGTGTTTGTTCAGAGGTGACCGAGGCCACTGCTGGCTGCTGCAGGGCTCTAAGTAATCAATAGGATGCCTTTAGAGTAAGCAAATGAGGTAAGTTCACTAATTGTGGTGTCCCACTCCCTGTTGTGAAGGCAGTCAAGGGCCACTCTCCAGTGTGGGACAGATGCTCCAACCAGCTCAAGCCAGTTCTGTGACATCCCTAAAGCATCAGAGGATTTGCTCTCATTGCTTTTATGAATAAGAAAAAAATAATAATCAGGCAGAATGCAGGAAAGAAAAGGAACAGGGGCAAATACTCAGTGCCAGACTTGTTCCTGGGCTCTTTCCCCACATGTGAAAAAACAGGATCTGTTTTCCAAGGAAAGAACACTGAAACAGGCACAAAATGGAAATTTGCTGCCTGGTCCTTACTCCCTGCAACAGGAATGGTGTCACCAGTAGTGTGGCAGCTGTTGGTGGACATGTGGCATTCTGGGAAGGTCCAAGTGTTGGGGTGCTCCATACATGGTGGCCATGCAGACTGCTCTCTCCTGCTTGTCCCTGCCCTCCCTGCCTGTCCCTGCCCATCCCTGCTTGTCCCTGCCTGTGCCTGTGCCTGTGCCCACACTGCTAGAGAGGATGATTCCAAAGAGCCCGAGAGGAATCAGCCCTGGCTGGAGTGAGGGATGGATAATGCATATGCAGTGGGTATGACTGATGTAATAAAATAATATCGTCAGGACATTTAGATAGGAAAAAATGCAGCAAGGTAATTCCTCACGCTGGCGTAATTCCTGACACTGGCTCCAATTTGTTTTCATTAGTGGTTTGCTAATGCATTTATTAGCCATTACATACGTACAGCAAAATGATGAGGTTTCCATATCTATATATGCAAATGAAATATGTCTGGCACATCTGTGGATGGGCTGGGTGAACACCGGGCTCATTCGCATTTTCCTCATGAGACTTTTCTGGATTATTTTTTCGGACTGCAATGGAAAGACCACCCACTTTTCCTCAAGTATTTTATTTTCTCTGTGTGGAGAGCTGGGGGATTGTGAGAACACAGGCCCCTTTAAAACAGGCAGAAATATACCAAGAGCTTCAGGCTCTGACAAACTCTTTAGAAAATCGGGTGATTTGGGTCCAGCTGTGTAAATGTTTTCAGTTTCGCTGCTGGGGCCCCGAGTTTGATTCGGTGCCAAGACAAGCCTTGCTCAAGTTGTTTTTGGCAAAGGCTCCTGGCTGAGGAATGTCAGCATCACTTTCAAAATATGATGGTTTGTAATTTGGACCACAGAATGAAAACTGAGCTGCTGGTACATTTTGCCATCATCTAATTACCAGGTCCCCAATTACAGTCAAGGAGCAGCTCCACAGGCGGGTGCAGGGAAGGTTGTTCCCATTGTGAGGCATTTCTCCATGTACATTTCCCTGAACACATTCCTGGAATGCAGACAGGTTCCTCAACACGCCAGCACCGGTTCACATGGATGTGGATATGGGTTTGGGTGTGGGTACCAGGGCGTGTGCCTCGCTCACCAGCGGCTCAGCCCTTCCCAGCCAGCTCCTGGTGCCGATGGAGCTGCTGCCACATTCCCATTGCCATTCCTTCTGCATCATCCATCCGTGTCCGATGCCAAACAACACCACTGCATCAGCCACAGGGTGTCATGGATACAGTTGTGGCACCCTGGGACATTCTGTGACACCCCAAGAGTGCTCCTTCTTGCCAT